CAAGTAACTGAAAAGACAATGGCTTATATCAGGCGCACCTTGGTCTTTAAGCTGACATTATTGCTCCTTAGTACTTTGAAGAGGTCCTTGACAGGAGATTTTTCCAAGGTGACATGTTTTCAGATTTCTTGAATGCTGGTACCAAAGGTGTTGATTATGGATCCAATGAGATGAAATTGTTGACAATTTCAATTATTTTCTTGATCTTGAAATATAATCCATAAAGACTCTCATGTACAGATTAAAAGATATGCAGGTTTCCTATGTGTATATATTAGCTGTACTCTTATGGAAGTAGGCACAAGATAAGGAAAGGTTTTCCAATTCATTTTCTAAAGGTTCTTACATACCCTAAACTGTGAGGCCACTGTACTTCTCTACACATAACTACAATTTATTCTGTTCCCCCTTCATTTGCTTTTAATAGCCTGTATTTTTCAAAATACAATAAAAATATATTTTTGAATCATACATAAGCTTTAAAATGACTTCTTGTTGTTGCTATTGAGTCAGCTACAAATTATAACAATGCTATGAACAGTAGGTCTGAACCTTGCCCCATTCTTACCATCTCTGATACGCATGACTCATTGTTACTGTCAATTTGTTGAGAGTGTTCCTCTCTTTCTCTGATCCTTCATCTTTTTAAGCTTAATGTCTTTTTCCAAGACTGAGTCCCTCCTGGAAACATGCCCATGGGAAGTGAGATGAAGTTTCATCATCCTTGCCTCTAAGGGGCACCACATTTGTACCTTTTCCAATATAGACTTGTTCATTCTTTTGGCAGTTCATGGAATATTAAGTACACTTCTCCAATACCACACTCAAAAAATATCATTATTCTCTCTCATCCTTACTCATTATACAGCTTTTATTTTTTTATTAATTTTAATGAAAGTTTACAGAGACTTTGGATTTCCATTCATTTATTGTTGTACTTTTCTCCCTGCCCATCCCTTTCCCCCACTTCACTCTTCCCTTTGAAAAGTAAAAGAAAAATTCTTTCATTGTTACACAGTCTCTCCTCCCAAGTCCACTCTCCTATGCAGCCTTTGTTCTGGACTCCTGTCATGACAATAATACCTAATCATATATCCTTTTTAACAGTTCTCTCACTCATCTGTTTCAATGCAGTATACATTATTTATCCCCACTATCTCAGTCTCCACTCTACCTTGATGTCAGTCCCATTTTACAACAGCGTCACTATGCAATAGTTGTCCTTCTGTGACTGAGATATTTCACTCAGCATAATGTCTACCAGGGTCACCCATGTTGTGTACTATTTCATGAGTTCCTTGTTTTTTAATGCAACAAAGTATTCCATTGTGTGAATATACCAGAGTTTCTCTATCCATTTGTTTGTTGATGGGCACTTGGGTTGTTTCCAACACTATGCTACTGTGAACAAAACCACAATAAACATGGGTGTGCATCTATCTGCTTGGGGGTAGTTATGGTTTCTTTGAGGTATATTCCCAGTAGTGCAATTGCTGGGTCAAATGGTATTTCTATTTGCAACTTTTTGAGAAAGCACCATACTGCCTTCCACAGTGGCTGAACCATTTTACACTTCCACCAACAGTGAATAAGGGTTCCAGTTTCTCCACAACCTCACCAGCATTTGATGTTTGGTGTTCTGTTAAATTTTGCTATTGTGACTGGGGTGAGATGATGACTCATACTTGTTTTGATTGGCATCTCTCTTTAGAGCTAGATATTTTGAACATTTCTTCGTGTGTTTGCTAGCAATCTGAATGTCTTCTTTGCTGACGTGTCTGTTCATATCCTGTGTCTATTTTTCAATTGAGTTATTTACCTTTACCTTCTTGTGTTGCTCAAATATTTAAAAATTCTAGATATAAGTCCCTTATATGACATGGCATTACTTACTTTTTCCCTGTCTATATCTGCCCTTTTCACCTTGTTGAAGAAGTTTTTGGATGTGCATAGGGATTTGATTCTTAGAAGGTCCCATTCATCTGTTTTATCCTCTCCTGGTTGTATAGTTTTCAGGATGCTTAGAAGACTGTTTATTTTGTAGAACTTTCAGAGTTCTTCCAAGCTTTTCTTTAATGAAGTTTATAATCACTATACAGCTTTTAGATGCACAGGAAACAAATTAAAAGACCATGGCTTGGATGAGGCGCACCTTAGTCATTAAACATACATGGTTGCTCCTTAACATTTTGGACAGTTCCTTGGCAGCAGATTTTCCCAAGGTAACATATCCTTTGATTTCTTGCCTGCTATTGGCATGGGTTGCCAGGAGGGACGGGTCCTTGGAGAGGGACATCATGCTTGGGAGGGTGGAGGGACAGCGCAGGAGGGGAAGACCCTCTATGAGATGGATTGATTCGGTGACTGGGGTCATCGGGATGGGTGTGTCAGAGGCAGTGCGGTTGGCGCAGGATAGAGCAGGGTTTACGGCTGTTGTGCACAGAGTCGCTATGAGTCGCAAACGACTCGAAGGCACATAACAACATAACATTGGCATGGGTGTTGATTGCAGATCTAAGTAAAATAAAATCCTAGACAACTTCAATCTTTTCTCCACCTATCACGATCCTGCTTAATGAACCAGTAGTAAGGATTTTGTTTTCTTGATGCTGAGATGTAATCCATATGGAATGCTGTGGTCTTTGTTCTTCTTCAGTAAATACTTCAAATCTTCTTCACTTTTGGAAGCTAGGTTGTGTCATCTGAATAATTCAGGTTGTTAAAGAATTTTCTTCCAACCCTATACCACATTATTCTTTGCTCAGTATACACATTCACTATGTATAAGATAAAATCTGATGCACACCTTTCCAATTTAAAATCATGTAAGTGTTCTCTCATTCTGTTTAGGTAAGTGCTTCTTGGTTTAGGTAAAGGTTATGCATAAAAACAAGTAAGTGTTTTGTGAATCCCCATTCTTCTCAATGTTATCTACTTCTTTGTCAACAATATAAACTAGTCCATAAGTTCATACGTGTTGCATTGCTAACCAAAAGATCAGCAATATGAATCCAGTAGCTGCCCCATGAGCTATTTCCTCTAATAAAGATGTACAGCATTAGAAATCTGAAGATAAGTCACTATGACACATTTGGATTGGCTCGGGCCTTATATAAACACATCCTCCTATCAGTACCATATTCTTTAAATGAAAAAGAATAATTTATTTAACAAGTAAAAAATAATTTCTTTCACAGGTCAAGTTATGCTCAAGAGTAATCTCAGAGTCTACAGGATATTTTTTCCGATAGGTGTTATTTGTCCAAATGATTACTTAAAAATGAAAAATAGATTAATCCAAGTGGTGTTTTTCTAAGCCAGCATTAAATAGTTACTATCTGTCCTTAGGATTTTAGAATAGGTCAGTGAATTTACTATTGTGGTATTTGCAGACTTACCCTAAATATTCTATCAGTGCTGACGCTATTGAAAAAGGTGGATGAAGGTGGAATCATTATATAAAAAATTCCTTGAAAGTTGAATAACTATCTAGAACTATTTCAATCAAATTAATATTTTGATGAAATACTTGAATTCTTTGAATAAAAGAAAGATCCCTTAAAATATGTTTCTATTTCCCTTGAAAATACTGGAGCTTTCCTTTTCTCTTAAGTTTTATAACAAATGATGAGGAATTAAAGTAGATTATAAAAAAATATCCTGAATCAAATTAGAAAATATTTAAGATATTTTTTACTTTAAAATATTAATTTTTTTTATTATAAATAATTTAATTTTATATATGAGTAAGTTAAGAAACTTTCATGCATACTCCAAAGTCAGAAAAAGACACTGTAAGGCTTTTGTTATTTAAGTAAATATATACATTTGGTTCCATGAGGCATGTGTAATACAAAATTTGTAATTTAGGTAAATAAATTCTCTTCAACTATACATTTAATTTTGAAAAATATAAATGCTAAAATATCTTTCCTTCCTCATCTCTTATTCTATAAAACTCATAATAGAAAGCTTCATGAAACTGTAAAATTCTATACTGTTATAGGAATTTCAAGTTGTATACTGGAATAAAATCATTAGTAATATATTGAAATGTTTTCTGTTCTTTATCATTTTGTTCTACCATGTTGATCTACTTCATGAAAAATAAAAAGATGCATTATTTCTCTAAAGTTAATAAAGACGTAGAATAAAAATATCTGAAAGTGTATATTTATTTTGAAAAATAACCTTTACTAGCCAGGAAAATGGCTAAAAAAGAGACTACTCTTCACTTTTTCACTTTGTAGGACTGGGACAAAATTACTCCTGGCTATGAAATAGTCATCAGATGATTTTAGCCCTGAGTTTAAATTTCTCTGCAATTTGTCTAGGAAACAGAATTCAGAATTTACACATGTACTCATTCAGCACATTCTTAATTCATATACCTTTTTATGAACAAAAAATAAATTTTTATTTTATATTAGTTTACTTACAAAGTTCATAAACACTGAGTTTCACACTATCCTTAATTCACTTTGTAATAGTTTCAAACAAAGCTAAAATACTGTGCTTGAGGTATATACTTTTTATCACAATGGATCATGATTTCTGATTTCTTAAAATGGTCTTAGGGTGAGCTCTGGTGGCCTAGTGGCAAGAAGCTGCACTGCAATCTCAGAGGACAGCGGTTCAAATCCACCAGATACTCTGCTGGAGAAGGGACAATCTCCTCCTGTACCAGTCAGATCTGATTTTACAGTACACACACACACACACACACACACACAAATGACAAAAATAAAACTTTAAAAAATGGTCTTAGAAAGTCACCTTTAACAAGTTAGCTTCTTAATGAATATCCTTTTAAAAATGTTGTTGGTAGGTGACATTCAGTAGACTACAAGGCATAATAACCCAATGACCAACAGTGTAATCTTGCCTTATACTGCACCATCCCAACAATCTGAATCATGCTCAAGTCTACTGTTGTAGTCACTATGTCAACATATCTAGTTGAGGGGCGTTTAAAGCACAGAACATATTATTTCTCTTACACATTTTCCACTCGATCACGCTGATAGTCAGAAAGTATGGCACCTACTGATATGCCCTCTACTTCTTCTTTTTCCTGAAAATAAAAGAAAAAAAATTAAAAAATAGACATATAGTTTTATATAATGCTCTGAAAATTATAAATGAACTGTTTCTCAACTAGGAAATAATTCTTAAGTAATGTACTTAAAATATAATCATATTTAAGGCGGGAAAAGTATCCCTTATCATTATAGCTTTGAGGAAAATAATTATTCATTATTCTTGTTACTTAAAATCTTAAACAGAGTGTAATTTCCATGGGCTTGAGCAGTGCACCCACAATGTTTTCACATTAATACTTTTTTAATTGGTTTTTTACAAAGTTTGTATACATAGTGTTTCACACTAGTCTTCATTCACACTGTGTTTCATACAATCATTCTCACGTATTATGTGTAAAATTAACACCATTGGACCTTGCACATCATTACCTTGTCTATTCACTCAGATCCTTCCTATTTACTTTCACCACTTCCTCCATCCACCACACTGTGCAACCCTGGGATTTCACCTCTACCTATTCTCACCCTTCCACTCCAAACTCTACTCCTTTGGGTTCATATACATGTTTCATTAGTTATCCTTACATTTTTAAAATAATGGTCTTATGAAGTATTTATCCTTACGAGACTGTATTAGCTGACTCAGGATAATGCTCTCCAGCCTCTCCCATATTACATGGTATTTCTCAAAATCATTGCTCCTGAGTGCTGCACAGTATTCCACTGTGTGAATGTACCACAATTTCTCAATCCATTCAGTTGTGGTTGGACATTTGGGCTGTTTCCATGTGTTTGCAATGGTAAATAATGTTGCTATGAACATTGGTGTGCAAATACCCCTTTGTGTCTCAGTTCTAATTACCTTGGTGTATTTTCTTAGTAGTGGAATAGTGTCACCCGGAGTTTCTATGTTCAATTATTTTAAGAGACACCAAACTGTCTTCCACAGTGGTTGAAACATTTTACAATCCCACCAACAGTGTATGAGAGTTCCCACTTCTCCACATCCTCGCCAACATTTACTTCTTGCTGCCCTATTAAACTGTATACACTTATTGAAGAAATTTTTGTGAAATTTTTATTTAAGAACATATTTTACAACTTACTAATTACTCTTTAAAATCCATTTGCTTTGCAGTAGGAAAATGGAAAATCTCCTCTCCTTATGATTTATAGACTTGGAGAGCCAATGAAGGGATGCTACAAGTTAGTATAGACTCAATAATAATGAATGAGTGAGTACATATGATTATTTTTACTTGACTATTAGTGGGAAAAGAAAATGAGATGGTAGAGACATTCCCTGGAAAACAATATAGCAGCACAGATACAGAATACTACAACAGGAAATGAGGGAGGAAGGGATAGAAAGAGGGAGGGATAATTTTTTATCAACACACTTGCAAATAAGAACACCCAACAGAGTCCTAAATGGACTGCTTTATCCGGCATACCCACTAGTGGCTAGGAGGAGAATGTAAATTAAGGTATAATCATGGATATAATTGATAAAAAGCTATGACAAATTAAAAAAACCAAAACAACAAACCCACCTAAACCAACCAAACAAAAAAGCATAACAACCCAGTATCAGTCAAGTACATGGATGGATATGGACAACTTGGGGATCTGGAAGGACAGGTCTAAGATGAGATTTAATGTAAAAAAGCATAAGATAATATACTTAGGCAGGCAAGCTAACAGGCAATGCAGATATAAATGAAGGGAGCCATTATCTAGGAAATAGATATGAAGAAAGTGACTGTAGGGGAGATTATTGATAACAAGCTGAACAGGAATTCTTCAAATTAGGGTAAAAGAAATCTATCCCAGGATATGGAAATATAGAAGACTGTTGTAAAGCAATTATTTTATTATTAAAAGCCTGTTTTTTCTGAATATGAAACTTCTCCCCACTTTTATGGTGCCCACAATGGAGAAATAATAGTGTCACACCAAATAAAACTAATGCTTCAAGAAATTCTGAAGTAAATCTGTGTGCCATAAAAGGATGCAGTAATAAATAAGCAAAAATGTACAGCAGGAATCATTCATGTCTTTGGAGATAAAGCTAATTTAACTTTATCTCTCCAAAACGATAGAAAAATATCTGCTCAAAGGTCCCCAAAATAAAATTATTCTGTCTATCAGATAAGGTTCCAGGAAAAGAGCTATTTCTTTTACTTTCCTGTTTAAGAAATGTGTGAGAACTTTTGCTTATAACCTTTCTCTAACCTTCCTACTCATTTTCTTTTAGTAAAAGTCACTATACTCATTAGGAAAAAAGTCAAGATCCATTGCCATTCTTTAATGAAAACATAAATATAAATGATACATGAACAAATTTCTGAAAAGAACAAAATTTTCTAGTGGCTCAGTGGAAAGAAACTATGCTGTGATCCCAAAGGCAGGTGGTTCAAGGTCACCAGCTGCTCTGCGGGAGAAAGATGGACAATCTCCTCCCCGCTATTAACTATCTCTGAAAACACACGAGAGGGTTAGCTCTGGGTTAGTCCGACTCAACAGTCACACAACAACAACATTCTTAGACCATATAGTTTGTATCTAATGTTCTAATATAAGGAAATAGAAAGTGTGTATAAGTGTCTTTCTCTATATGAAAACAAAAACTAGAGTAACTGATGTTTTCAATCCTAAATTAAGTTTAATAACTGTTAAAATAATAATTCACATTTATTATCTATTTAATATGTGCTAATGTGGGTGACTCTACTCTGTGGCCTTCAGGCCTGTTTTTGTTTTTGGTCAAACATTATTGTGTCATATAGCCCTGGTGCGTGCACTTGCCATACCGAGGTAACTTATGGTTATGGTAACTGATTACAACAAGCTTGGAAGCAGGAGTGGCATCCACTTCCGTAAATAGCTTGCCTCTGGAAACCCTATGAACCTGGAGAAAGGATGCAAGGCACGCAAGTGTTGAGGACTTTCGTTCATAGGGTCGCTATGAGTCTCCTATGACTCGAGGGCACTTAACAACAACAATGTGTAATACGTTTATTTAATGCTCACCATAACCCTCAGAAGACAGTTTGATTCTTGTAGTCTACATGCACTTTCTGAAATTCTTTCTTCCAAGTCTTTAATTTCTATTTCATACTATCTAAATTATCAGTTCTATTGGACTCCTAAGAGAACAAACAGGTTTGTCCTGGAGGGGGTTAAACCAGGCTACTCGTTGGAGGCAAGGATTCTGAAGCTTCATCTGACATCTTCATTTGGACATATCCCAAGGAGGGACCAATCCTTGGAGAGGGATATCATGCTTGAAGAGTGGAGGGACAGAGCAGGAGAGGAAGACCCTTGATGAGATGGACTGACTCAGTGACTGGGGTAATGGGGATAGGTGTGTCAGAGACAGTAAGATTTGCATAGGATAGAGCAGGATTTAGGGCTGTTGTACACAGCGGTCCCGTGAGTCACAGGCAACTCGACAGCACATAATTACAACAACAACAATAATATAATGTTAGAACCAGTAGCATTCTGACTTTCTTCAGCAATAGGCCTGTACATTAATTATTACATTTATTTGCCCAATAATCATGGCTACAATTACTCATCAGAAATCTAGTCCTACCACCACCTCCTAATTTCTCAAATTCTTAAAATGTTAGTGATTTCTTCACTGCTTCTCCATTTGTACAGATAATAATTATTCCTGTTTTTATAGTAATTATAAGGGATCAGTAAAAAACCCAGGTAAAGTTTTCAGCACTTTGAAACATTTAGTAAATACATTATTTCTTTCATCTTATTATCACTACAACTTCAGTAACTACAACACTATCACTACCACAACAACACTTCAGTAATTATTTACAATACTATTTTATTATTATTATTACTACTGACTAATGACAGGAGAAAGATGGGCAAACTTTCCATGTCAGATTTATACTTCAGAAAATCTGCTGAGGGTCAACAATGAGTTGGGTCAAACCTGACCATACATAACAACATTACTGACTGAAACTATTACTACTGTTGTTGATTGCTGTCGAGTTGAGCACGACTCATAGTGACTAAATGAACAAAAGGCCTGAAGCCTTTCTATAATTATTGTCATTTATCAAAGTTCATAGAGTTTCCAGAGGCATGTTGGTTAGGAAGTGGATGCCACTCCTGCTACTCTTACTAGATAAAGATTGCATTCTTGTACTTGGGAGACAAAGCACGTCATTTCTCAGCTTTAGACTCCTGGGCATTATTGCTCTCAATTCTAGTTACCACCAACTTCTCCAACATAAAAACTCCTGAATAATTCAGGGATATTTGTTCTGGAAAAGAGTATTGATTATCCCATGGACTGCCAAAGGAATAAACAGATACACCTGAAAAAAGGTGCAGCGTTGAGTGTTCTCTGGAGGCAAGGATAGTGAAGCTTTGTCTCACATACTCTGGGCATATTGTTAGGAGGGGCTATTGTTTGGAAAGGGACATCATGCCTGGAAAGGTGGAGCTTCAGTGGAAAAAGAGGAAGAACTTCAATGAGATGGAGTGACACAGTAACTGGAGCAAAGGGCTCAGGTGTGTCAGAGATGATGAGGATAGTACACATAGGTCAAGGTTCAGATCTGTTGTTCACAGGGTCAGTATGAGTAGTACGTGACTCTGCAACACCTAATAACACCACCACCAACACCACTGCTGATTAGTTGGAACTGACCCAATCACTGACCTTTCAGTGGGATTTTGGAGACTTTAAATCACACAGAAAAGACTGCCCACCTTTCTACCATGAAGCAGTGGGTACAGTCAAACTTCCAGGTGATGGAACCTTTGGGTTAGCAGAACAACTTCTACAGGCTATGTCTATCATAGTTCCTAGAAGTAAGACTTAATGTTAAATCTTCAATCATTCTGAACAAAGTATTTACTGGAAGAAATAAATATAGACTATTAAAACATAAAAGTCTATCACATAGTGCATGTGCCCTGTAGAAAAAAGGAAGCGGGGTTCAGACTACGAAACATTTAATTTTGTGGCAAAAAAAGTCAGCAAATTAAT